TCTGGGTAATAGTATTGTTTTAAGCGAGATAATACCGAGTAGTTGAAGTTCATTTCTTGGAAAAAATGTATGCATTGGAGATCTTTTATGCCAAAAATACTGGAGGTAGGTTAACAGATTAGAAAAAAGTGTGGTAGGTACAGTTAAGGTTTTATGGGACATAAAACCTTAACTGTACCTATCACACTTCCATTACCAAGGCATCAAATAAGAAAGAGGACGGGTCAGATGAGCGTTAACATACAATTAAATAGAACTAAAGGGATACATGAGAAACAAAAAAAAAATACATCCATGTGGCCTTAAGTCAGTAACCGGAACTGATATCGATAAGTTTTTCCTAAAGACTGAAACCAGTATCAAACCTGTATATTTACCTTGAAGTTATCCTTTGGATGTTGCCTACAATGATTTTATTTTAATATGTAGTTATGTCTGTTAATTAGAGGAACAGGAAATAACATGGAACAGGATAGATTATAATCTACCAAATGTAAGAGAAGTCAAGATCCTATGACTCGTTATTGTCCGAGTAATTCATCAACTCCAAACTATTTTTTAATCTTACCTGCTGAGCAGGAGGATATTAATTTTTTTTTTTGACTAATTCAGTCAAGGTCAATATTAATTGACTAATTAGTCAATACACCGTGTCACTGACTTTAGGTCACATGACTTTTGAAATCAGTTAATCCCTGCAAAGGTCAGTATTAATTTGCAAGGATAAAAGTATGAATAAACTTACCTCTACTTCTCTTAGAAAAAACTTTCAAATATCTACCAAATATACTTGGTAGTATGAATTATGAATTAATCAAAGTACTGAAATAACTGAATTGAGGTGACGTCTTCCATTGAAATGTGAAATCCATCACCAGGTTAACTGGCATACACATAATATAAATAATTTAAGAAAAATCCAGTGTTTGGTACAGTAAAATATATCCAATGAAAAAATTTCAAGAATCACAAGACTCGAAAATCATTTTTACTGTTAGCGCTTTCTGCCTAATGACTCTTCAGACAGTTTAAAGTTGAATATCATGATATAAATATATATACTATACCCCAGTGAAAACCATTGGGAAGCAAAAGGTGAACAACAGGAGAATCTGAGTTTTTAAAAACTTATCTTATTTATTAAAAAACTGATCTAGTTAACACTAACAAAAGAAACTTTGCCATATGAATGTGTAAAAACAAATCATGTGCCATGTATATTTGAAATTTCAGTTTAAGGTCCATAAAACTTTAAAACGTTTTCAAGACACTCGTATCAAAATGTAATTAGCTCTTTGTTCCCAAAATATTGTTTTACTATATGTATATATTTACTTGACACTATTTCCAATGTCATTTGATCTAATTACATTAATTATGCTTGTAAGAATGTAATACCAATTGAATTAGATTCATACTAATATTGACAGAAGCAAAAAGGTATATTAAAAAATATTATTTGATGTTTTCCAACCATAAGATATTTAAATGTTTTGCTTCAATACATTATTATACATACATTGTAAATGTAAAGTTTTCAACTGATAGACCTGGGTTATCAAAGTTATTTGATTTCTTGCATAGTTTATTTACATTATATTTACGAACAAAGCATTCTTTTTCTTCTCGTCTCTTTATATATTCAGAGCCGTGACAAATTTGTTACATTCTTTTCAACGTTAATTTTTGAATTCCTTTTTATTTTTATTATTTCTTTTTTTTTATTTGTAAATGTGTATTTATTAATAAATTTTAAAAAAGGATAATAAATGTATATTAACTATATTTTGAAAACTGGAATTTCTAATGCATGTCGACCGAGCGAAATGAAGTCAAAAATTTTTTCATTGAATTCATCTGCACGTTTGGCATAATTACACAGTTATACTACATGCATATACATGTATCAAAACGAACCCGCCTAAACCACAATTGCACAATCGTCGTATCTTTATTTTAAATAAAAGCATAAAATAAAAATTTCATTTGACAAGAGTGTTATACAGTGTAAAGATGTTTTGAATTCACAAAATAAAAAAAATTTGATATTTATTTAGTTTTATTAGCTCACCTGAGCCGAAGGCTCAAGTGAGCTTTTCTGATTACATTTTGTCCGTCGTCCGTCCGTCTGTCTGTCTGTCCGTCTGTAAACTTTTCACATTTTCGACTTCTTCTCAAGAACCACTGGACCAATTTTGACCAAACTTGGTACAAAGCATCCTTGGGTGAAGGGAAATTTAAATTGTTAAAATAAAGGGCCAAGTTCTCTCACAAGGGGAGATAATCAAGAAAAGACAAAAATAGGGTGGGGTCATTAAAAAATCTTCTTCTCAAGAACCATTGGGCCAGAAAAGCTGAAACTTATGTGGAAGCATCCTAGGGTAGTGTAGATTTTAAATTGTAAAAATCATGACCCCCGGGGGAAGGTCGGGGCCACAGTTTTACATAGAAATATATAGGAAAAATCTTTGAAAATCTTCTTCTCAAGAACCACTGGACCAGAAAAGTTTTACATAGAAGTATATAGGAAAAATATTTGAAAATCTTCTTCTCAAGAACCACTGGGCCAGAAAAGCTGAAACTTATGTGGAAGCATCCTAGGGTAGTGTAGATTCTAAATTGTTAAAATCATGACCCCCCTGAGGGAAGGGCGGGGCCACAATGGGGTATCAAAGTTTTACATAGAAATATATAGGAAAAATCTTTGAAAATCTTCTTCTCAGGAACCACTGGGCCAGAAAAGCTGAAACTTATGTGGAAGCATCCTGGTATAGTGTAGATTCTAAATTGTAAAAATCATGACCCCCGGGGGAAGGGCGGGCCCACAATGGGGAATTAAATTTTTACATAGAAATATATAGGAAAAATATTTGAAAATCTTCTTCTCAGGAACCACTGGACCAGAAAAGCTGAAACTTATGTGGAAGCATCCTGGTATAGTGTAGATTCTAAATTTTAAAATCATGACCCCCGGGGGAAGGGCGGGCCCACAATGGGGAATCAAAGTTTTACATAGAAATATATAGGAAAAATCTTTGAAAATCTTCTTCTCAAGAACCACTGGACCAGAAAAGCTGAAACTTATGTATAAGCATTCTGGTATAGTGTAGATTCTAAATTGTAAAAATCATGACCCCCGGGGGAAGGACGGGGCCACAATTGGGAATCAAAGTTTTACATAGAAATATATTGGAAAAATCTTCTTTTCAAGAGCCACTGGGCCAGAAAAGCTGAAACTTATGTGGAAGCATGCTGGGGTAGTGTAGATTCTAAATTATTCAAATCATGCATGACCCCCGGGGGAAGGGTGGGGCCACAATTGGGAATCAAAGTTTGACATCGAAATATATAGGGAAAATCTTTGAAAATCTTCTTCTCAAGAGCCACTTGGCCAGAAAAGCTGAAACTTATGTGCACATGGAAGGATCCTTTGGTAGTGTAGATTTCAAAATGTCTTAATTATGATCAGTTGGGTAGAGTGGAGATGCATTATGTATTACAAGGGGGAAGTCTGGTAAAAAACAGAATGGTCAAAGCTTCTCAGGTGAGCAATGTGGCCCATGGGCTCTTGTTATTAAAAACCCCTCGCAAATGTGACAGGCTTTCACTATATTCTTCTTTTCAATCGATAAGTATAGGGTATAAATAGGGTATCTTAACTCTCCTAATGAAAATTGTGATGAAATTGCAGGACACGTTTTCTCTGGAGATGTTTTACGTTGTAAAATCTGTTAGCCACATTAAATCAATCCTCCTACGGTTTAGTCTTGTTTGAAAACTAATGAAAGTTGATAGAAAAGATTCCGGGCATCAATTTGTAATATTGTTGAATGGTGTTGTCATATGGAACCTTACTAAAGGCAAATAATCAGCTAAGTTCTTCCTAATGTACTCTTTACGATTTAAATAGAAAAATATATTATATGCCCGTCGATAACTTAAAGATACGTTTCATGTATGATTTATATTCATCGACTGCTAATTTCAAACTCATCGTTGCTTTTCCATAATATATTGTTCAGAATTATTTGCCTTTCCTTTCGTGACTACATACTAAGTAGCAGAAATCCTACGACATAATAATATCAGCTGGTTAAGTATCACGCAAACTCTCTTTTTAAAATTTTATTGGATAAAAAAGAGCCGGTTTTTGTGACAGAAATTTTAAACTCCGATAAAATATAGATTTCTCTACGTATTTTGATAAAATGCAGTTAGAAAAGCAAAGTTTAGGATTCTCTCATTCTCTTTAAAAAGATATAAAAGTTATTTTTCTAAATGGATACATGTACTTTTTTTCTTTTTATTAAAAAAATTATAAAATTTACAAAAAGTGACAAATTGTAGATTGTGGGGAAAAAAACCCACATGACCCATTTGCATCTGATCAGGAGCAAAACGAAATGCATTCTATATTAATTTTCTCTTCTTCTATCTCTGGTTTTGATTGCTGATTAATTGCTTTTTGTGACTTTGTGGATGCTTTCTCATGAATAATTAACAGCTCAAAATTAAATTCTATGATCGCGAAGTTTGATACCGTTCTGTTTGTCTTTCACAACTTATACATGTATATACACAGGACTCGACAAAGTTAAAATAAGTTTCATTCTTTAAATATAACGAAACTTGTTCAATCCGTTCACTAAAGACATTGGCACTTTGTTCGAATTAGACAAATTCCGGATTAAACAATATTTTATACAGAATTGGAATTAAAGTTTGAATTGTACATGTACTATATAGACAGGATTTTGGAATACACACATCCGGATTAAACAAGTTTTACTGTATAGTCATGTATATAATTATATCATTGCGACAACTTCAATGTATACTTATATATACCGGGTCCTAATGGATAATAGATGTTTTTAGGTTTTTTTAATCTTTTTAAAGGAAACACGTTTCAGCACCTTATATACAGGATGACGGCCATTGTTCTCAAGTGCAAAGAAAACTGCATCATTCTCCACATCCGGTTAATTGTCGATTACATCGAGGGGTAATTACATGTACTCGTGTTTCAAACTAATGTGGAGACACGCTTAACAGCTCACTTTGAAATTAGAGAACTTACCACTGGGAGCATTTTAATTTCCTTATGTTCGAGTTGAAAGTTACATAATTATATGTATTCTCGAAAAGGTAATTCTTACTTTATTTTTAGATGAATATGTAAAATTGCTATTTAAATCATGATAAAAATGTACTATATCGTATTCTTTATTATGTGTTTATATCTATATATAGATATATGTGCTTTTTAACGGTAAAATTTAACTAAATAGATATGTAGTATAAAAATATATTGATAGGCATGTTCACTTGAATTATTATGTGTATATATCTATATATAGATATATATATATATATATATATATATATATATATATATATATATATATATATATATATCTATATATAGATATATATGCTTTTTAACGGTAAAATTTAACTAAATAGATATGTAGTATATAAAAATATATTGATAGGCATGTTCACTTGAATCAAAATGTTACATTATCATTAATATTGACTGATCAATTTGTTTCAAAAAGAGATAGAGGAAAACACACACGGTGTGATTTATAGAGAACGAGCAAATGGTCAGGATATTACGAGTACTTTTCCTTTTCAATCCATCATTGATCAGTACTGAAGTAGTATACTGCACAATGGGCATATCTTTATGGAACCTCGCACAAGATGTTACATTGTCATAAAACCACCAGCAATCGAATCATGCAGTAATTTTATAGCTTCTGTTGAACTCGAGATTTGTATCTTTTTTTTTTTGTTATTGTTGTACGGTGATTTACGGGGACTATTTCGATAGGATTTTTATTACTTTGCCGATTAAAACACAGGTATGCATTGTCCAAAAATGCTATCAAACATTAATAGAATATTAGAAAATGCTTTAAAAGCCGTCAAGGGAAATAAAAAAAATTATAATACTTATTTTACAATCACTAATTTTTTCCAAGGTATAAATTTTCCTTTAAATTTATTCATAAATTGGCTTTTATTTCTTGTATTTTGTGTACCTAAATATAATATAAGTTTTAGAGGTTAAGAGATTTTTGTAATAAAGAAAATGCAATATTATATTGGTGATGATAGCAGTAATTATTGCAAGTTCAATCCCTAGTGAAGAGTTTGATTCGAGATTTTACCCCTTTTTTTTCCAATTTTAAGTGTTTGATTAACAATTATATATAAGACAAGTCATGTCAATTGGTTAGTAAATATATGCATCAAATACATGAATTATGTTTTGAAATACATTTTCAACAAAAATATCTTACCCGGAAATACTTAATTTTTGTAATACATGTATTTAGGATGTCTGTTTCGATCAGAAACGATAAAAAAGGAAGAAAGAAAGAAAGAAATAATTAAAACAAATGATAATGATGTAACTACAAAGGAGTTAGTAAAAGGCTGTTCTTCCATTTCAAAGCGAGGTCACTTTGAAGTTTTTTAAAGTTCATTAGTGTCCTATTCATACGTTCATTTGACTTTCACTCGTTAGTAAAGGAAATGATATTTGCCTGAAGTGTTCGATAAAAATGTGAAAGTTATTCGTCATTGCATGAAATTCGTAATAGATCCGCACAAAGTATCACACATATTGAATTTTAAATATATATAATTATTGGTTAAGCTTCAACGAAAATGAAGTCTTGCCAATTGAAAACGTTTCGGCTCTATTTGATGATGGCATTTCCGTAACTGCCTTTTCTTAATCAGTAAAAAAAGTATATCAAGACTTTACATCTGACATCAAAACATACTTGTAACAGACACTGAGTCGACGTCCATATATATATATGTATACTTGTAAGTATAATCAAATCTGGTTAAGGTCATTAAGACCATAAGACGTTGTCAATGATCTTTGTGTTAAACTTCTCAAGAGGGCTTCAATAGTTCAAACTCTATAAAGTTCAAACTACTTTAACATGTTAAAATCGAATTGAATACCACGAGCTTTGAACCACTATCTTAAGCAAAAAGTATTGTAATTTTGCAAATTCTGAATTGGTAAAAAAAAAAATTATACAACTACACCAAATTTTGAAACAATTGCATTAAATTTTATTGTGTTTTGATGAATTGCATTAAAACGTACATTGGCATGAGGACCAATAAATAGCTCAATATTTTTGTTCGTTTGTTTGGCTCATCTACCGACTTTTTAAAAAAATTGATCGATTGGTTTGAATTCTTTTTTTAAAAAAATGTTTCTTTTTACATGTATCAATGTACAAATTTATTCTTAAATTAATTAAGGATATCAATGTACTTATTTGCGAGTAATATATACGGCCTTTTTTCTGTCTTATGAAACTGGTTCGAAAACGACTCTTAAATAATTTTTCAAAATTAATTACTTCTAGTATAATTGTAATTTGCAAAAAACGTACATTAACAACAACACAACAGCAGAGAAAATTGAATATAGGCCAGTTACTTTGAATTCTTCGGTAAAGAACCACAAATTAAAAATGTGGGCCACAATATGAGATTTAATCTGAGCACTCTTAAACCTACTATATGCAAAATGTACGGCTCTAAATGCAGTAATATATTAAACATTGAAGTTCAACATAATTTAAACATGAAGAATTGGGATTTTGCCTCTCTGTATCTTTAAATATAAAGTTGCAATCTTAGAAATTTTTTTTACTAAAAACTTGATTTTCTGATCCGTGAGCAAGGTCATTAGAACAAGAGCATTTCCATAAGATTAAAAAAAAATTCTCGAGAGGTATGTTAAACAACAGAAAAAAATCGGGCAGGATCAACAGCTGTCTGACGGGGTCTTTTCGATCCAGCAAATACTGAGACACAGGACCTCGGTTTATACAGCTAGTCTCATCCGAAGGACAGGTTTCCAAGTCCCACAGTTTGTTTCGAACCTGCGACGTAAGGATCAACTCCTTACTTCGCAGACGCTCTAACCATTGCACCACGCGGGCGACGTTAGAACATTGAAGAAGATGATTTGCCTATACTAAGGTCAAATGGATAGAACCATCCTCGATGCTAGAGACCATAATAATATAAGCTGGATAAGATTGATCTTAAATCTTGACAGAATATCACTGAATCCGGATCTCCGCAAAGAAAAAAATGATCTGAAAATTCCAACAGGATCTAATTTTCATCAGCATCAATTTCTTTTTGAAATAATTCATCTTTATAAACTATTTATCACTTTTGTCTGTGTATAGATTAGGTACAAATACATGACTTAACAGCAAGTTGTTCATTAGCAACACTAAGTACACGAATAATATAAACATGATGAATAGATTTACACGAGAAGTTTGCATCACAAAAACGTGACGTGCAAGTGCAATGTGGTTCAAAATTGTTGTCAGCAAAACGCCTGATACATGTAGCCATGAACCAGTCACACAGGAAGAGAAATGATGTTTTAACAACTTGTGTATAAACAAAAGCTTTATCATTTTTTTAAATACAAATTTGGTAGATATATATATTGTACAATGTCATATCATTCAACGGCACGGCAATAGATGTAGAAGTATTATTATAGTAACATACCTGATTGTAAAGAAATTTTTAAGGGAGTTGCTTTCAGTGGTATTTCAATTACTGGAAAAAATGGTGAAATTTTGGTCAATTTTTTAAGAAAGCAAAGGCTGATCTAAAGTTAGAACTAATACATGTATATCATAATTTTTTTTATTTACAGTAACTGTATTATATATATATTTACCTTACTCGTGCAATAATTCTGCTCTCTATTTTTCAGATGCCTAACTAATTTGTCAAAGTTTGGAGGAAAATGCCAAAATGTCGCATTGGAACAGATCCTACTTCTTCGGATTCGACGAGGAGTATGGCTGGGGTAATACCACATACTTCTCTTATTTCTCGGAATTTAACAGACCTTGGAGTGGTCTCCCTTACTTGGAGGCAGTTGTGTTAATCTTTCTTTTTCTGTTCTCTCTTTTGGGAAATTGTTTTGCATTTTATCAAATAATGAAACTTAGGAGCACCCGAACTGTGACCAATTACCTGATTTGCAATTTGGCTGTCGCAGACATCCTTTTCTCCACCGGAAGTCCTTTGATTGCGGCTGCGCGCATTACTGGAACGTGGGTTCTTGGTTCATTTATTTGCAAAATGCTGGTATATGTTCTATTTATCTGTGCAGCTGTGATGATCTGGACGATGACAATAATTAGCATCGACAGATATATCTGCATTTTCAAAACTTCTGTGAAAAGAGTCACCCCTAAAATGGCAATGTGTAGCATAGTTATTCTTTGGTTTCTGGCTTTCGTAGCATTTATTCCACTTGCCATGTATTTCAATTTAAAAAGTTTTCCGTTCGGTACCACAAGCGTAAATATCTGTACCTTACTGTGGCCGAATAATCAACTAATCCGTGTTTCATTGATATTTACGATCTGCATCTGCATCATTGGATTCGTGGTTCCACTCGGAATACTGGTATTTAATTATTTCCGAATTTTGAAAAAATTCAAAAAATCCAGAAATGCTGTAATGACAATAGCTACGAACAACACAACAAAATCCATAAAATCTCGGGAGCAACGAGATTTCAGATTGGTGAAGAACCTCATTTTGTTGGTTGTTTTGTTTCTTGTGATGTGGCTGCCAATTTTTATCGTGTTTGTGTTGCTTCAGGCTGACGGTATGGACGATGAGATGGAGGTCTCATCACAGGCTTTCATTGGGGCCTTATGTGTGGCTCTTGGAAACGCTTGTGTGAATCCATTTTTGTATGGCATTATGAATGAAAAAGTGAAACGCAGAATTATTAAATCTGTCTTTTCTCGGAAAAAGAAGATGAAAATATCAACCATTGACAGCAAAACTGCCACTGAAAACAGCAAATTAGCTAAAAATGGACCGAGCATGACATCGAGTACTTAATGAGTATGAATTCATAATCAAGATAATTAAAGAAGAACACAGTGTATCGCAAATCATGTCTAATTTTTCGAAATGATCTGCATGCAACTTACATAGCTATCATTAATTGCATTCATACAAATGACTTACATTGCTGTTGTTTAAATGATTGAGTATAACTTATGTATTTATTATATTATCTAATTTATCGACAATTTTCTTGTTTTATAGACAATCGTAAGGTAGACTCAGTACGTAATGTATGTTAAGCTCAAATTAGCTGCAAGTCATCAGTCTTCGTTAGCCAAGGGTTTCTGATATGCATCTCTTCTCCTTCGTAAGTGGAGTAGCGGATCAGAAAACTTGGCTAGCGAAGATGGTTGGAAGTCTATGTTGAGAATGTTTTAAAGAGAAAACTTATGTATTTATGTAAGTACATGTAAGTACATGTACATGCATTATTTTGTGAAGTAAAAAACATAATTATGAAAAATCTTATTCAGGAAACATTCCCTAACAGAAAATAACTAGATATAAAGCTTATTATGAATATACACTGTACATCTGTACTTAGGAAGTACCTGACATTTTTAGCTCATCTGAGCCGAAGTCTCAGTTGCAAACTTGTGAGCTTTTCTGAACTGGGCCAATTTCAACCAAACTTGCCACAAAGTATCCTTCGGTGAAGGGAATTCAAGTTTGTGCAAAAGAAGGGCCATGCCCTCTTCTAAGGGAGATATTATGAATTAGTAAAAAATTAAAGGTATATTTTAAAAATCTTCTTCTCAAAAATCACTGGACTAAGAAAGATGAAATTCACCTGAAAGTATCCTCAGGTAGTGTAGATTCAAGTTTGTTCAAATCATGACCCCAGGGAGTATCAAAGTTTAACCTAGGAAAAGATAGGAAAAAAATCTTTAAAAATCTTCTTTTCAAGAAAGCAAAGCCATGATTGGTCTAGTAAAATGGAAGTATCCTCTGGTAGTGTAGATTCAAGTTTGTTCAAATTATGACCCCCGGGGATAGGGTGGGGCCACGATGGGAATCAAAGTTTAACATTGGAATATATTCGAAAAATCTTTTTAAGAAACACCTTCTCAAGAACAGCAAAGCCATGATTGGTCATATTTATATTAAAGCATCCTCGGGTACATGTAGCATAGATTCAAGTTTGTGCAAATCATGACCCCCAGGGATAGGGTGGGGCCACCATTGGGGATCAAAGTTTAACATAGGAAAACATAGGAAAATCTTTAAAAAAAATTCTTCTCAAGAAAAACAAAGCAAAGCATATTATATAGTCTTGTAGTGTAGATTATTTGATTGCTGGGGCATATAATTAGTTTTATATAGAAAAATTCTTTAAAATTGAGCAGCAAAGCTTTGATTGCTCATATAATTATTTATATAGGAGCATCCCCAGGAAGTGTAGATTCAAGTTAATTTGTTCAAATCATGACCAGCGGGGGTTAAGTGTGGCCACAATGGGTGATCAAGGTTTTATGTAGGAATACAAAGGACAAATTGTGAAAATTCTTCAGAACAACAAAGCATCATTGATCATCAATATAAAAGCATCGAAAATGGTATATAAAGGATTTATCAATACAGATTTTCATCTTTAAAACATCAAAGCCATTATGTATCATGTTTAAAGCACAAAGTATTAGTTTGATGACTTTTACTATTATATTCAAATAACTAAACTGATTTTTAGCTCTTCTGGTCGAGAGACCAGAAATTTTAATGTAGATTTGTGTCTGTTAGCTGTCTGTCTGTCTGTAGACAATTTTTTCAAAATGCTATTCCTCCTACAGTTTAAATCTGATTTCAATATAACTTGGCACACAAGTAGACTACACTAAGGTACATAATTCTGTCTATCGGTTTTTGATTTCGATGAACATTGTTGTCGTGGATAAAAATAGAAATTTCTGTGAAATTGTTATGCAAAGGTCTGATTTCAATATAAAAGGATATAATTTTTTGTATACAATAAAAATTGTGCTAAAAATAGAAATTGCTGTGAAATAAAAAGCAAAGCGATAATAATGTATCATGTTAATTTAAAAGCATCGGTTTTTGATTTTGATAAAATTGATTTACTCAAAATAGAAATTTCTGTGAAATTCTTTCAAAATGCTACGTCTCCTACAGTTTTGGTCCGATTTCAATATAACTTGGCACACAAGTAGACGACATTAAGATACACAATTCTGCATATCGGTTTTTGACTTTGATGAACATTATTGCCTTGGTTATTGAAAACAGAAATTTCTGTTAAATACTCTCAAAATGCTTCTCCAAATACAGTTTTAGTCTGATTATAATATAATGTGGCATGCAAGCAGACTACACTAAGAACATTAACAGACCTAATCAAGGATCATTATTTTATTTATTGCTGTTGTAAAGTTTCAATTCCCAACTGCTTAAGTACTTTTCTCTTCCTTTGGTATAAGTACAAACCAGTACAGCTTCAGTCTCGACAGAGACTTCTGGTTGTTTTACCTACCCAGTTGCTCAGGTAACTTTTCAAGTATATATAATGAAACATCCTTTCAAGTATATATATCGTTTCAAAACACTTTGCTGTCTATAGCACTAACCTTAAACAGTAAACTGACGTCGACTAAAATCTCAGTCACATTTCCAAAAACGATCAACGGCCGAAGGTTTTTGAAGCAAAAATGGGATTCTTCTGTTGACAGTCGGCAGTTCATACGTTGTCTTGCCCGATGTACAATTTTGTGTCCATCTATCTGTGGCCGATTTCTTCAATTGAAGTTATCCGTAGACCAACCTTCTATCATCATCCAACCATCGGCGGTCAGTTTATAAGTCGGTCGTACGTCGTTCGACAATAAAGGTATCCAAAATTTCGGCAGACGGTTAAAATCAAACTGTAGCTCAGAGCTCGGTGATCTGGCGACGATTGGCCGATTTGTGAAATAACCTATTAAGGATACATAACACAAACAAAATGTTGATGCATGGATTGATAAATATTTTTTGAACGGAAATAACTTAATTAATCCGTAAGATATAAAGTAATCTTAAGTATTCCTTGCTGCTTAGATATGCGCCATTTGTCGATTTTTTAGGCAATTTTATTGAAATTTTGCACACATTTTCAACATTGAGACACAATCTTACAAAATTCTGCCATTTTGCCTTGCAAAAATTACTCATGTCACTCACCTGAGTATAAATCTATGAAAAATATTGCTCATTTCTAAAGAAAAAAAATATTTTTTGTGTTATTTGTTAACCTTGAATTAATGTGACTCTCGATACTCTTGACGGCCGATCATGTTCTTTCAGCCGACAAGACCAGAAAAATTAGTCGCTCGACCATCGGCTTAAATGTGACCTAGGAAGTACATGTACACCTATTACGTCGTATTATTCTTGAGAATTTCTTGACTTTGTGTTTTTTTATGCGCCTGGATCGAAAGATCAATTTTTCTGTCTGTTTAGCTGTTTATTATTCAGCAAACTTTCATTCCATAACTTTTGTTAATTAAAGTGCATATTTGGTTTTGCATTTAAGCGTCTTTCAAATGACATCAAGGTCAATGACCTTGTGACCTTGACTGTGACCTATATGCTAAAAATAGTTTTTTTCTGAAAACTTTAATCTTCGCCATAACTTTTGAACCATAAAAGATAGAGACTTCACATTTGGTATGCATACACCACTGATTAAGTCCTTTTTAATGACACAATGGAAAATGACCTTGTGACCTTGACTGTGACCTATCAATAAATATAGCTTTATTGTCGGCAAACTTTAACCTTCGCCATCACTTTTGAAGGAGAAAGATAAAGACTTAATTTTTGGCATATATACTCCACTAGTTAAGCCCTTTCAGATGAACCAAGGTCAATGATCTTGTGACCTTGACTGTGTCCTATATGCTAAAAATAGCTTTTTTGAACTTTCACCATAACTTTTGAACCATGAGAGATAGAGACTTCATATTTGGTATGCATACCTCACTAATCAAGTTCTTTTAAATAACACCAAGATCAATGACCTTGTGACCTTGACTGTGACCTATATGCTTAAAATTTGTTTTTAAATTTGTTGCCGCCGGGCGCATAGTGTTACACAAACACATCTTGTTTTCATCAATTCTTAATAGACATTATTAATAATTTCGGTTAAGAGTGCGGTTTTGCATAACGTCACAACAAGCATGTATGATGACAGCTGCGCTCAAGGCTAATGGTACACCTAACCGCAAGCATTATGACTGATAGTTACTTGTTATCCCTGACTGGTTGCTTGTACAACGGACTATTTCCTTATCGCGCAGCATTCTACAAAAACACGACCAATGAAGATTTTTCTATGTCGCTTACAATTATACCGTTTTAAAATCTTAACTATAAATTTTATGATCAATTTCAACCTTAAGTCTCAACATACAGACATGGTTTTGTTTATATTTACCTATATATCTGCAGTTAAAAGTTTCGATAAGAAAATAAATAAATGTAATGTTGAAAAACGAATTCAACTGCAAATCTTCAAGTCGCTTCATTTAAATATTTACAATTTCAAGATAGAATTTTCAGCCGTACAAGAGTCCCAAACAGATTGCGAAGAATGTAAAAAAAATTTAATTATATACTTTAAATTGAAATCAAACCACTACTCGCAAAAAAATGCATGGATCTTCTTTCATGCAAAATAATTTTATGTCGCTAAAAATCGATTAACTTCCATAACCATTATTTTTTTAAATTTCACGAACAGAATGCAGATTTCAAAATTAAGAACTGAAACTTATCCGAAAGTCACCACGGAACCTTATATCTTTGATTCTAGTAGCGAGTAAGCTATTTTAGACGATTACATTTTTGAAATAACAAACAAAATGAATTACAGAAAAACTGTTATCTCTCTGAAAAATTTAACTTCCGTAACTGTAATTCATGAAAGTTTTTGCATTTATTTAAAGGTATTCAACTTTTTATCATTTTAGGAGCGAAATGCTTCATACTTTTGTTTAATGTCCTAACACACGCTTGATTTTAACTATCGCCGAGAGTTTTAACTTTTATTGCTGGGGAATCACATGTAACTTCCTTAACGTTAATATTCCGTAACTACATGTATATTTTTACCGAAATTTTAACGATGCCAGATTTGTTGACACTTCTTTTTTTTTTTCAAGTTCACTAATATGTCCTTTAGAGGATTATGATGTTAATTTTGTATTTTGAGACATATATTTTTTTCTCCATGTTTGATATCTCGACGAGAATGCTCGATGCTGATAAAACGACTATAAATAATACCCCGCGCCTCCAATGTGAATATAATGGCAGTGTCCATGTTTTGCTGTAGGAAACCCAGAATATGTGTCGGACCTAAAAGTAAAATAGAAGGTGAACAATGGTAATATGTAATAAAGATTCTGTTGAAAGTCTAATCCAGTTTCATTCAGTGGTATGAGAGGAGTTGCGGATAAGGGATGGCTACCCCAAAGCGTAACAGACGGACATACAGCTA